AAAGACTTGTGTGTGTTTTGCTTCATAGCACCTTGTAAACATCTAGAGAAAGCCTGACTGATAGTGGGCATGAAATAAATATTTAGTGAACAGATAAATTAGATTCCCCGTGTGTGAGCTTTGCTATGATTCCTTTCTAAGACGAATGAGGGGCAAGTCACTCTGGACAAAGGCCCTCTGGAACTTAGTTGCATAGAGAACTATTAAGCTCTGAGGTTGAGGACAGTGTATTTTTTGTAATTCCTCTTGATCATTATTTTGTCCTCTTTGTTTAATTTAATACCAGCTTATTTTGTCCCAATCTTCTGTGCATTTGATGGTTGTATTATTCATTATGGGTAGCTATAGCATTTTCATAATTAATCTTTAATTGCAATACTTGAATAGCATTTCACATGAAAAATGATCACAATTTAAACCCACATCTCACCTTGGATAATTATTACAGGTCTGACTAATGTGCATGAAGCCCTCGCACGGCAGGGGGCTCTCTCCAATGACAATGTGTTGATTTTCTAATTAACAAAGGTTAAGTAGCATTTTTGCTTGCAGACCTACATTTTAAACTTATGACATTTGTCACCAAGAAAGATTTCTATAGAGCACAAAAGATGAACTCAAATAATTATCACTGGTTCTAGTGCATTAACATCTTTTGCATAATATATAATGACCATTTTCAGGACAAAAGATTTTTCTTCATATCGACTAGATCAGCAAAAGTACTTTTCAGCTCACTGACCCATTCAATAAATCAGGGGCCATCTAAGTAAGAAAAGAGCATAATTTATTTAGTTTCCTTTATAGGGAGAGAAATGGCATTCCACTTACCTGCTTTATAAATTAAGAAGGGGGAGTACAAAACTTTATTTAATGAAAACAACAAATACAATTTAGACTACAGTCATATTTTATGGTCAATTAAGAGAAGGGAAAAAGAGGTCAGGCAGCAGTACAAAAAGGAAAAGGAACTTTAGGAGAAATTGAGACTAATTTACTGAAATAGAGAGAGGGAGACACATAAGCACAGAGGGTTGTACAACATGGACCAGAGTAATTTAGAGCTGGAAGGAACCAGAGACATCATCTAGTTCAATCTTCTTTTTTATGGATAGGAAACTGACGCTGAGAGAGGCTAAGTGATTTGATGAAAACCACACAACTAACCCCTGTCAACAGTCCTGATAGAGAGACATACACAAAGGCAGGAAGAAAGACTGATAGGTGTAGAAACTCAGAAAGACCCAAAACGAGAAAGAATCAAAGACAGAGAGGCAGACAGACGGAAAAATCTGGCCCCTTAAATCCCTTATTAAAATGAGGCCTGAATACATACATATATCTAAATGCTTACCTTAATGATGTAATAAAAATATGATCTATTCTAGTTTTATTTGCTCTGCCAATTAGCCCTTTTTATTTGTTTTTTTAAATTTTTTTAGGTTAATATTCCCTGTACTAGTTATCTACTGCTGCATAACAAGTTACAATTAGCCCTTTTTTTTTTTTTTGAGGAAGATCAGCCCTGAGCTAACATCCATGCTAATCCTCCTATTTTTTTTTTTTTCTGAGGGAGACCCGTCCCGAGCTAACATCTGTTGCCAATCCTCCTTCTTTTCCCCCCCAAAGCCCCAGTAGATAGTTGTATGTCATAGTTGCACATCCTTCTAGTTGCTGTATGTGGGACGCGGCCTCAGCATGGCCAGAGAAGCGGTGCGTCTGTGCGCGCCCGGGATCCGAACCCAGGCCGCCAGTAGCAGAGCGCACGCACTTAACCGCTAAGCCACGGGGCCGGCCCTGCAATTAGCCCTTTTAAAATCTCCATTATTTTTGTCATATTAACATTTAAAGAGTCTTTTAAAAATCTCTTCTTCTAACTCTCAACTATTGCTGAGACCCAATAAATATGAATGATTTCCAAAATAAAATACATTCCAGATAGATAATAGATTAAAATGTTAAGAGAAGTAAAATCATAAAAGTGCTAGAAGAAAATATAGTTGAATAATTATATTATTTTGGATTACAGAAGATCTTTATAATCCTGACATAAAAGGCAGAAATCATACAATAAGACAGATGGATGTGACTACATAAACATCCAAAACTTTCATAGGGAAAAAGAAACTTCATATACAAGTTAACACGCACAAACTGGAAGGATGTAGTTGCCAAACTGATAACAGAGTGAAAGCCCAAAATACTGTTCTCAATCAATAAAAATTTATCCTCGCCCATTCTCCCCAAAAAGCAAAGAACATGAAGAAATAGAAACTAAGAATGGGGAAAAATTATTCAACTAACAGTATTTGAAACAATGCAGATTGAAATAATGAACTTTTATCCCCCATAGCCTGTAAATTCAAAAAGATCCTACCTAGTTTTAGCATTGGTGTGGAGAAGATGGGAATCTCATACCCTCCTGGTGAAATACAAATTGATAAATGCTTCTTAGAGGAAAATATATTTCAAGTGCCTTTAAACACGTGTATGCCTTTGTACCCAGCAATTACACTTCTAAGAATTAATTCTAAGGAAAAACTGGACAAGTGTGCAAAGGTTTTTACAAAGATATTTATTACAGTATCATATAAAATGAAAATTGGAATAAGCTTCCAAGTCCAATGGTAGTGGAATGACAAAATAAGTTATAGTGCCCTCCAGAATGAGATGCTATGCAGATGTTAAACAAGATGTTCCAATTGTACATTTATTTCTTGGAAAATGTTTTATGATATATTTAGTGCAAAAAGCAAATTTCAAAACAACGCGTATATCATGACCCCTTTTCTTCCTTTGTTTTATTTTTTTACACATACGTGTCTTCATAGATAAAAGTAGAAAAGGCTATTTGCTAAAGTGAAAGTAGTTATATCTGAGTTAACATTTCAGATTCTTTTTCATTGTGCTTATCGGTATGATTATGGTTTCCACAGTGAAAAACTATGACATTTGTGATCAGGGAAAAGGCGACGGAGATATCTAAAAACAACGATTTAAAAATCTCAGCATATTTTGATAGGATATTATTGTCTTAATGGACTAGTGGTGAAAATTTAAATGGCTAGGCATTTATTTAGTAAATGGCTCTTTGGAAAGCCCTTATTGCAAGAACAAAAGCCATAGTTGCAAAAATGATAGAAGCCAAATTGAAATTTTAACACACAAAGAGTGACTTATGGATTGAAATTCTTCCAAATCATAGCAAAGGCCCAGATTCTCTTCGGCAAAGAGGTGTGAGCCTGAGCCGACGAGCAGATTGCAAAGTGGGAAATCTTTCAAAGTGGTTATTTTTAATAAGTTCTTTTGCCATATACTATCCCATAGCTTTGATAAAAAAAAAAAAGGCATTGGGCTCCCATCAACTAATCCTCTATTCAAATGTTTTATTAAAAAATAATCCCTGGAGAATTATTATTCAAATCTATGTACTACCCAATGAAAGAACTGTGAGGCTTGGGTTTATAAAGATAATAGAGCAATTCATTTGTCATTTCATGGCTGAGGATTTACAGGCATAAGCAAATGTTAATCCATTCTTGGGACTAAAGCCTTTGATCCACCAGCCCTGCCTGATGAGTCTACTAGATTGTACACTTTTTCTCAAGATAATAGAATAAGTGATCAGAATCAATCCCCAGAGTACCAACCTCACCCAGACTCTGACAATCGTACCGACCCCTCCATTTTCAAAGACATCCAAACCTATATCTCAGAAACGTGCATCTGTGGGGCCCCGATTCTGAAGTTTTTCTTCTGTATTAGATGGCCAACACAGGACAGTGTTTAAGACAAGAGGCTTGAGAATAAGACAGATCTAACACAACTTTGCCACTCCAGAGCTGAGTCCTTGAGTAAATTTCTGAACTTCTCTAAGCCTCAGTTTCCTCATCTGTACAATGGGGATAATGATAATAATGCCTACCTTGCCAGGTCATTGTGAGAATCAGGTGAATAACATATGTAAGTTGCTTAGTCTAGTACCTACTACAGACCCCTCAAAAAAAGAGTAACTTTTATTTTATTAACAGTATCTTTTTTTCTAATTCCCCATCAGGTATTTCTTTTAATAATTTTAACTACTATTCATTTTATTTAATTTCCAGAGGAGTTGTTTCTCTAAGATGTAGACATGTACATAACCTTGAGTTCCTCCTTTTGTATCAGCTCCTTAAAAAAATCATAGCTAAGGTTATTACAGACACAATTAAATCCATTTGTGATATAATGCTGCAATGAACCCTTCTATGAAATTTGCTAGGAATATTTTCATATGTCCATGCTCATGAATCTCCATCTAACTCTGTAACTTACACCCAAATTCACAGTGAACTTGATCTTTATGCTGTATGTCTTGCAATGGCATTTAGACAAAAGCAATGAAGTCTAACCTGAATGGTAATAAATGTGGCGTGGCTGACTTCTGCATAAAATTATCAATTTCAACTTCCGGCCACCCCAGACAAGAAGCCCTGGGAACCCTTCACGTCAACTTCAAAGCAAAGCATTTCCTGAGACAAGAACCAGGACTTACAATCACATTTCAAATGGATTTATGCCTTACAACTAATTGACTTGTTAACTATGCTAATATATTCATGTCTCTCTGCATTTTTATATTTCTTTCAATAGATAATTCTACGGGACCGAATGCCGTGAGATTAAAGAACAAAGAACCTAGAGATTTCTATAAATTTCTTTTCTATAGGAAACGGGATTAGACTTCCAAAACTGCTTATATAATTTTTGTGTATCTTCAAACATTTTATTTCTGTAGCAAATTTATTGCTTCTCAGAAGAAAGCCTCTTTTAATTAGGCGTTATAGCCAAGGGGGAAAAGCTTCACATTTTTCTATTAGGCAGGACCAACTTGAAAGTGAGAATCTAGCTGCACTTAGCAGTCTCATCTCCTGCCACAGTTTTTCAAAGTATGATGAATGAACACAGAAGCCAAAGCAGGGGTTATTCCATCTGACCTCCATGCCTTCTGTCCTTCCCAGGTGGTGCTGGAGGCCAGCAGGGCTTCCTGGGCTGCATCCGCTCCCTGAGGATGAATGGAGTGACACTGGACTTGGAGGAAAGAGCAAAGGTCACATCTGGATTCAAATCTGGGTGCTCAGGCCACTGTACCAGCTATGGGACCAACTGTGAGAATGGAGGCAAATGCATAGAAAAATACCATGGTTATTCCTGTGATTGCTCCAATACGGCATATGATGGAACTTTTTGCAACAAAGGTAAGGCAGAACCAGTTTCCGGAGCCATTCTGCACATCTTTTTAAGCCCAAATCATCTGTTTAATGATTTTTCAGCTGTACACAAATGTACTTTATTCTGAGGGTAATGTGTCCAGAATTCTTTTCCCACCTTAGGTAGGAAGTCTCCCAAATCATTCCCTAATCTTTGTTGTTTTTTAAGATGAGAGGAACTTTGAATGTGGTGCAGAATTTCCCCCAAATTCCAGCAAACTATGCACTGACTGGAATATTACAGAGCAAATAGCCACATCACACCTTCATGGTGAGCGACAAAGTAAGTGGACTCTGAAAGGGGACTCAGGCCTGACCCTCCCACTCAGGAAGTCAGAGGGGTCAGCATACTCTCTTGACTGAAGGATTGCTGCAGTGAATCAGTCAGTGCTGCCCAGGGTCTTGTTGCCCACTACACCCCACCCCACCCCGACTGCTGCTAAGAGACTGGATTCAAGCTGGACTCACAAGAAAGCCTCTTGGGCCAGTTATTGTCATTATCATTATCATCATTATTACTCTTACAAAGGATGCCACTGCCAGTGGTTCTCCACCTCATCTAAATGGCAGGAATCCTGAGATACCACATCAAACCAGTCAGTCTAAAGCATCTGTTATTACTGTGGTGTTTCAGTCTTGAATGAGTCTTTTGACCCTAATAAATTCTGCAGAGCCTATCAGCAGACTATAAGAGCCCAATGCTCACGCATGTTGTCATTCAGGATATACCCTGTGATCCTGCGTGACCAGAAGAAATTCACTCAACTTATCTGTGGCTTCATTTCCCGTACGTAAACAAGAGGGATGGAGAGAGGCAGAGCTGGCACTTTTCCTAAGCTACTATTGAAATGCATGTAAACCACTCTTCTCTTTCTAAATGAATGTATAGCATTTGGGTAAAGTTTTCTGTAAATGGTCGGTGCATCTCTTAATAAGAGGCTTTACATAAGTAGACTATTCATACTCTCATGAATACGTGGAGGGTTGTTTATGCTGGCATTATTCACACACGATGCCACACAGAAGGAAGAATTGTTTCATAACATTCTCTGTACATCCAGGCTACTGTCTGGCAGTACTATCATATGAGCATACAAATTAGGTCAGGCAGGATTTGAAGAATGAGCATGAGACAACAATAAAGGTGGAAAGGAACACCATTGCTGAATAATACCATAGCACATTAACAGTGCTATTATAGTGCATTTGTCTGCTCGGAACAGCATGGTTCCATGATTTTCCTGTGGCACACAATGGGATGGGTTAGCAGAACACATTAATTTTGCACTTGTAGAAATGACAGTCTTGCAATTACCATTCATTGTACTTGATGCTAATTTCACGCAGTCATGCTGTCGCCAAAGTGATGTCTGAATGCAATCAAGTAAGCGCTAATGCTTGAGAGATTCCACTACGTAAGTGCCAATTTAAAGAAAATCACCATCCCCTTATTTTTGGAGAGTTAGGTTAAACACAGTGGCTCATACAAAACCTCTGGGGGTTAATAGGCAATGGTCTTGAACAGAGAGGCAGGGTGTATACCCTTCAGCTTTGCCAGTGTGAGAGATAAAGTCACATGAAGCCTGTGTTCCCTCTGACATTATTTCTAAGGGTTTACACAAAAGACACCTAAATACTCTCAATATCTGTTTAGCAGGATGAGTTTACATTTGACTCAATTAGTAGCTTTAGCCAAAAAAACTAAAATTAAAAACTACAAAATGTATTTGGAAAGTATCTGTGGGCATTCTTCTGAGTCAAGACAAGTATCTTCTTGACTTGGGGAAAATGATGGTAGTGCTTATTAAAAGGAATCATGTGGCCATCCAGGAAAGCTTCCTCTGCAAGCTCGTTCATGGACTGGGGGATTGTCCCTCTGAGGCCTCCAGCCAGGAGCCCCCTCTGTTGTGGGGCTCATCTCCCAGGGAGCCTAGTACCTGCACCGCAGATCCTGGACCACACCTTCACCTGGGGTCGTAGCCCAATAGCTCAGCCTCTAGAAAGAGCGACCACCACAGTCATCTACCAAAGAATGAGCTCATGAAAGTCCTTCGTGGGCCTTCTTTTGATGATATAGGTCTGTGCTTGTGGATGTGGAAAAATGTTCACAATATTTTGCTAAGTGAATAAAGCAGGTCCCAATATACCACGCACAGCTTGATTTGTTTATACAAAATCAAACACACACACAAAGTAAACTGTGTGAAAACACATCAAAATATTAACTGTTCTTGTTTTTAGGGGAGGGTGAAAACATCAGTATTTAATTTCATTTCATTTTGCTGCATTTTCTAATCTTTACACAATGATGGATTACCTCTAACTTCCTCATTTGTTCCTCTTTTGGGAAGAATAGTCCTAAGAGGCAGAGTCTTGCTGCAGGCATTTGAGGATCAACTGTCTCTGGTTAGAAAATATCTAGTTATTAACCAGAAATCGTTATACATAATCATACTATCTGGAGTGGAGTAACATCTCAGGTGAAAATTGCATATAATTAAATTACCCTTGAAAAATCCATCTCTCAATACATTTAACAGAGCCCATTTTTTCAAAGCCTCTGAAGTGATCATCCTTGCGACGGGCACTGGAGGAAGAATTGCCTTGTTGGGGCCAAGTTGTATGAAAATAAAACCTTGAGACACTCGTATCACAGCCATATAAGAGGTTCACGCTAGGACAGGCATGGGACCAACCGCCCGGGGTGGGGTGCAGATGAGCCACGTCTCTCCCCTGTGCGGTATTAGGTTATCCATGGGGGGAATAGTAGCAAATGGCCCACACTGTTTAAATCTCTCTCTGTTTCTCCTCTACCCTCCTCCCTCTCCCTCCCTTCTCTCCTCCTTTCTTCCTCTCTCCTTCTCATTCTCCCTCCCCTGGGAGCATACTCTCAATCTTTACACTGTCTCTGTCTCTATCTTTCCACATTCCCTACCTACTTTCCCCATTTCTCTTTCTTCTGATTGAACATGTGATTGAATTTGTAAATCAAATTACCCTGTGCTGCCCCTTCATTAAGCTCAGGAGGACAGCCTGGATTCAAGCAGGTCCCTCATGATGATCCTTTTCTGCTTCATAGATGACGCACTCAGCGTCACTATCCCCTACCAGCAAAATATGCATGTACCAGAAACTCCTTTCTCTCCTCCTCTTACCTCTTATCAAAAGCTACTCCCAGGGCCTTTTTTCAAATGAATCTATAAAGATTTGATCACCATTAAGGTGTTAGCTCTCCCAGGGCTACTTGCAAATTAAATAGGAATGCTGACTGGGGAGAAGTTCTTGTTTTGGAGAGAGCACGAAAGCATGCATCCTAGAAACCCTGTACTGGACATAGAGCCAGTCATCTCATCTGCCTACAGATAACCATGCAGTATCCCATCTTTTCAGAATGTCCACCAGCCAGCAGCCATTTAACTCAGCTGAGACAGCTCCACTCCATGGCAGAACTCCCTGGCAATCCATTGGCTGAGGCTGTGGATGCCTCTAGGAACAGAGCAGCACCCCAGCCAACATGGAAGGCTTAGCTGTGGGTCTGTCATCCCCAGGATTAATGAGACCTCCACTGGGGACCAAATGGAAAGTTTCCTGGCCATGCCAAGGGTAATTTTCTCTAATTAGACCTATTTCTTCTTAGATAGTAAACCCCAAAACACTGGAGAATTTTATATCAACCTCATTTTGATTTCTAGCCAGAAATTAGCAACATAATTAGAAGCAAACTCTCTCTGTGTGTTCTCTGTGTTTTTAAGCCAGAGGGAAAATAACAGACCTATAGTGGCTACAGCAATCGCTATGTTTTATTTTTGTAATTGAATGCTATAATGGGTTGAATAGTGTCCCCTTCCCCTAAATTCATGTCCACGTGGAACCTCAGAATGTGACCTTGTTTGGAAATAGGGTCTTTGCAGATGTAATTAAGTTAAGGCAAGGTCATACTGGATTAGGGTGGGCCCTAAATCCAATGTGAGTGTCCTTATAAAAAAAGAAGAGGACACAGAGACACACACAGACACACAGAGGAGAAGGCCATGTGAAGACGGAGGCAGAGATTGGAATGATGCTGCCACAAGCCAAGGAACACCTGGGGCCACCAGAAGCTGGGAGAGGCAGGAGGGACCATCCCTAGGTCTTCCGAAGAAGCGCAGCCCTGATAACACCTTGATTTTCAACTTCTAGCCACCCTAACCGTGAGAGAATAAATTTCTGTTGTGTTAAGCCTCCCGGTTTGTGGTGCTTTGTAAAGGCAGCCCTAGGAAACTAAAACAAATGCTAATAAAAATCTGCAATGCTTCTTAATTCCTGCACTTAACAGTGAAAACAGCTGGCATTTATTGAGAACTTATGATGTGCCAGACAGTGTGCTAAGCTCTCTAATTGGGTTAACATCACTTAATACCCACAACAACTCTATGAGGTAGGTACTATTGTTATTATCCCCAATTTACAGAGAAGGAAGTTGAGGCACAAATGGCTGTAGTAGCTTGCCCAAGGCTCACACACCTGTGGGTAGCAGGCCGGGATTTATCTGCAGGCAGTCTGACTCAGAGCTCACTTTCTCACCACTGTGTTACTGCTTCTCACCAAGAGGCTGCCTTCAAGCAGGCTGATATAAAACAAAAAACAGAACCCCTAGTCTTGAAGTTTTTTAGTTATTATGATTCAGTAAACAATCAGAATTTTATTGGATGCAGAAATTATCATAAAAAAAATAAGATACAAGATCTGAACAGAGACTCTTTGGCCACATTTAGGTGTAAGCTATATTCATTTACCCATTCATTTATTTAACAAACATTTAGTGAACACCTAATGTGCCTGAAAGCCTTGAATATGTAGCTGAATCTGACTGTACTGAAATTTTCAAAACATTTCAGTGGTTTACAGCTACAAAATCAGAAAAATATAGAGTATATGAAAGCAGTGGATGTGAATTAGCTGTCACCCAGACTGCTGAAAACAGTTCTTCATTATGATCCCCTCACTGA